TATATAATGAATTAAAAAGTCAATAGTCAATTTTTATTAATGATAATATTTGAAATTTTTCCACTTGCCCGCACTGATAAAAGATCCTGTTCCGTCACTGAGTTTATTAGTGTCATGTAACATAAAAGATCAATTTAGATATAATTTTCTGTAATCAAAATAGTTAAAAATATCTTTTAATATTTATTGATACTAACTATAGTTATTTATCAAATTTAAAAATAAAATGAATTACTAAGTGGTTTTGTCATTTGTGTGAACACAGATGAAAAAGCTGCAAACAATAAGGTGAAAGTCGAAGACATGGATAACAAGAACAAGTCAATCACTTATACAACGATTGAAAGGAAATCTGCTGGAAGTTTACAAGAGCTTCAAGATAATTCTTCAAGTTGCTCCAAGGGAAGAGGGCAACTTGGTTCACTGGATTGTTGAATATGAGAAGCCGAACGGGGATGTTCCTGACCCAAAAACAATGCTGATTCCTGCAAAGATGTTGATGCTCACCTTATCCAAAAGTCTCCTCAAGTTCTCAATAACTAAGAATTTGGTACGATAATAAAATATTCGATGCTTGAAGTTGTACTCTAGCTACATATACGCGTATATGTAAGACATAAAAAAAAAGCCTGGATATATGTATCAGCAGTCTTTTGCTTGTACTAGGTACAAAAAAAAATGCATTTTCCGTAATATGGATGATCATATATGAAAAAATAATTAAATTCTTCTGAATTAGGAGATTTTTGATTAGTGTGTTTTTATTAATATACAACCAATAATATATTTATTAGAGAAGATGTAAAGCTATTTTTTTTTTGCATGAGCCAATAATACATGAGTGAATAAATCGTAAATGTTTGAAAATATTTGAAGAGGTTTAAAAGAAATTATATACAAGTCCCAGTTTTGCTGACCTTCTCTAACCCAATAAATTTGAGATAAATTTCGGTTACCTTCTCTTTCATAAACAGAGCTTGGAAATGTGGAATAGCTCTGCAGCTGATATATACATATCAAGAGCTGCAAGATAGAATATTATTAGGCACCACAATTGAATAACCAATAAACTAATTAAAATCAATAAAGCTCCAAACCAAAGTACACTTTTAGCCCTTCTTTGTATAAGAAGATCGAAGTTCAAACCATTTAAAACTTGGCACCTAGAGATCATAATCCCTAATACAATGCCACCTTGCTAGCAGCTGTCAAGCTTACAAAAGAAATAAGAAACAGGTGGAGAAAGGATAGCAATAGCTAGGCATGCAGTAGAAAAACGAGATAATTAAAGTGTACAGAATATCGTACAACATAAGTTAGAAGGTAGTAAAAAAAGCTATTCCCTGTAAAAGGAAAAAAGAAAAAGAAAAAAAAAATGTCTTGCTATGGAAAGTTGGTAGCTTACGTTGAGGTAAAGACTTCTCTGCTGACAAATTATTTGAGTTTTACACAAACAGACCCTTTCATAAGTCGAATTACTCCCCTAGAACAGTACTTAAGAATGTGAATTTGCATGAGACTTTGGTCATTTAAAATTAGACAGAAATAAAAAGCATTTGGGAGTTCCAAATTTCCCTTGGATGTAAGCAATTCTGTTAGAACTTTAGCCCAAAGAAAAGTACAATCCAAAAGATCAACTTGATAGATGGGAAAGCCCATAGGCTTAAGTATCACACTTGGTGGGTGTGAGATCCCGACGTGGGATCTTAACATTGCACCCCGTTCAAGAGTCGACGTCTACTGTAGCTTTTACTTTATTGACACTAACCCAACGCTAGCTCTTTCACCTTTTAGACGGTTTCACTCACTTATCAGTTATTCAATGTAACACCCCTCCCAAGGAAAGCAAACTATACCTTAATCTTGCCTATAGTTAGCACTTTTCGCAACCTAATTCTCAACGAAAGCACTAATATTAGAACTCAAGCCCAAGGAATAAGATCAACCCAAAAGGTGCGTTTGATAAATAAGGTGGGCCCTAGGCTTAAGAACCACACTTGGTGAGTGTGAGATCCCGATATGGTATCTTAACAAATTCAATTTTGTCAATTATAGCATGTTAATTTGTTGTTCTGAGTTAATTTACGCTGATGATTCCCAGCAAAAACTGAAAATAGAATCTATTTCAGCAATGAGCATAGCTTGTTAAGAAGATTTAACTATTGTAAACTGTCCATCCACCGCCTTAGCTCTATTTTTTGGCGCCCCCCCAATTTGATTTTTACTTCATAGTGATTGAGAAAAACAAAGAAATATACAGTCCCTTTTTCTCTTTATTTTCTTCGTAATTATATGTCTTTGTAGTCTATTATACTACTACCACTAAAACTATAACATTAACTGAACTTCCATGATATAAGAGGCGATTTTTTTTTTTTTTTTTTTTTAAAAAATCCACTTACCATTGATCATGGATGATGTAATAAATGGTTGGATGATATAATAAATATTATTTGGCTGGCCAGTCGGTTCCATTTTTGGTAGGATAGTGGTTAAAAAATGCGGCAATAACGCAACAACGTAAATTAATTAAAACTAATTTGAATACATTTAACACAATACTTACTAACCTACTAAGGTCAAATTTGTCATTCTGAATAAAGATAATTAATACAGTACTGTACTCAATTCTCATTTTCTGAATAAAGATAACTACATAGTATTGTATGCGATAAATTATATCACTATAATCATTAAACAATATGGACAAAATTTAAATGATGAAATAAAATTATTAAAATACTTTTATAATATTTCTAAAAATAGAAAAAAAAAATGAATGAAAAAACTGATTATTAATATCTTATTATTTCTCCTTTTTATTTTTATTTTTAAAAAAATTGAGAAGTAATTTTTTTCCATTAGGCTAACTGGGCTGCAGCCCATGGTAGTCGTCCTTTCACAGTTCCACTACGCTTATTCATATTATTTACATTGTGACGTTAAATAAACATATATCTTTCACCTTTCAAGCTTATTAACATTATTATATATCTCAATTCTTAAATCTTAAATAATATTACATTGATAGATAATGACCTCCTTTATTAGTAGCAGCTAAGGTGAATTAAACTCAAAACCTTTTGAGTTACACCTAAGAGTCTTAGTTGACCACTTCGCTATCCAATGGTGGTTATTTTACTTAGAAAAAGTGAAATTTAGATATCTATTAATTATTTGATTTTATTATTTAAGATTGAGAATCAATTATATTACTCTTAATAGAAAAATGTAAAAATTTTTGGCTTTTAACTTAAGACTAAAGACTTATTTGTTTGTATTAAATAACTTCTCCAAAAATATCCCTATTCTAATTTTTAAATTCCAATCATACCCCTTAAAACCTTAATCTCTATTAACCTATTTTATTTAAATTCTTATTTTACTATCATTGTAGCAAACATAATGGATACACACAACTTAAGAATTGAATTATTTAGAAAATCAAAATGTTTTTGTTATATTTTATCAAATTTATGACTTGTTATAAAAATTATAAATATATATCATACTTAACATTTGATAACGATATTTAGATAAAAATACTAATTTTTAGAATTTAAAATTTGTAAAAGTAAACACTTAATACTTGTAATCAGATTTTCAAAAATTATAAACAAATATATTATTAGTTTTAGGCCCTTTATCTAGAAGCATGTCAGATCTTGTGTTGAAATACATTTGAGCCTCGTTTAACATATGGAAAATAATAAAGTTATCGAAGGATGTGCACTGAATGATGTGATATAATCTTGACCGTCGATTAATATTAATTCATAATTAATCGACGATCATGATTGCGCTATGTTATTCGGTACACAAATCGGTACGCATCCGGTAACTGTAGCATTACTCTTAACATATATATATATATAGCTTTATCAATTTTTCCATTATTTATTTCCACATAGTATATATGCTCATTTGCTTTATATTTAATTAAATATATTCTTTTATATATCTTAATAAGCATTGACTCATATATTGAAAACGAACATATTCATCTGGTTTGCGACTTTAATATTTGTTTAATTACTGAACTTAAGTTTTATAAGATAATGGTTTTTAATGGCATTTAAGAGAAAACCCATTTCACGAGGTATTTCAAGAATTTTTAAAAATTGATAAATATTGAAAATTCACAAAACAATTTTTTTTTTTTTTTTTTTTAGCAAGTGTTCATAAGAAACGGAAAAAATTTACAAGAGGTTATATAAAAACAGACCAACCTACCATAAATGAAAACAAATAATGAAAGCAATCTTAACCAAGGCTGCCGAGCAACACTCACTCTTTTTGTTTTACAATCTTCAAAAACAAAAGATTGGAATCAAGAGGAGCCAACACCTCAAAGCCAAGAGGAACCAAACCAAACAAAAATCCTACCTCAGGACATGCCCTGGGTTAGAAACAATACTTAGCAAACAAATGTAAATACAAGCAAACTCAAAAAATAAAAGAACTCAAAACAACTCAATCGTCAACCAAGGAACGGCTGACCCGGGAAAGCATCAATCGACAAGGGCGGGAACAAAGGAGGAGGTACTTCTGTGGCGTGACCCTATGGGTGTGAATCATTGGAAATTTAGAAGAACCACACAATATAGAATTTGAAGGATCTTTAATATAGTGGTTTGAGAATTTTTTTTTCATTTTTTTATTAAAAGAAGTTATAGAACCCAAAAAGTTGATAAAATTATATAACATTTGGTTGTTATTGACTTGAGAATCTTATCAAAGGACTTCAGGTTTCTTTATAACTAAGCTGGTTTATACCTAAAACAATCTTTTTAATTCCAGGCCTGTATTTTAATTTAACTTTACATAGTGATGTTCCCTTTAGGCATTTTCAGAACGTCCACTTTCCAATTAGATAATCTTGAAGGTGAAATTACACCGAAGACCTTTCGGCGTTCGACGTGGTGTATTCTGATTAATGTTAAAGTTTCTATATAAACTGAAGTCCAAAGGCATACAGTTCAACCACTGCCTGTCTCTCCGGTAGAAACAAAATAAAATAAAATGTCTCTCTGTGGAAAGATGGAAGCTGAAATTGAAATGAAGGCTCCTGCTGATAAAGTCTTTGAATTCTACACTTGCTTAGCTTACCAAATGTCAAAATCCAGCCCTGAAATGCTTCAGAGTGTTGATTTGCAGAAAGGTCAATGGGGCAAAAAGGGCTCCATTCTCTGCTGGAACTATTTAATTGGTAATAATTCATCCCATGCCTTCTTTTTTTTTACCTTGATTGATTTATTATAATTTTCAAAATTAACCTCCACATGTTTTTGTGTGAGCGGAATTAATTTGATCGTATAAGTTCTTTTATAAAATCTTGATAGATCGTACGAATTGAACAAATTAAAGTCAGTTTGGTTGTGCTTATTTAATTACTGATTAGAAAAACTTAATTAAAGTTATAAGCACTTAAAAAAAATTTAAGATTGTTTGGTTGCATCTTGAAAGCGCTTATAAAATTTTCAATAAGTATTTTACTGCTTACACAAAAAGCTCATAAGCCATTTTTGAGTTTATTTAAAGTGTTGAAATGTCAAAATATCTCTATTCTATTTTATAAATAGATGTATTTCTTGAATATTAAAATGTTTTTTTCATATGTTTTTAACCAAATAATTAAAATTTATTTTTCATAAAAGTTAAATTTTCGTAAGTTCTATTCTAATAAGCTTTAATAGAATAAATCTTACCAAACAGAACGTCAGTATCTATTCTTAAGTAATTTTGTGGTTACAGATGGAAAAGTTGAAAAGATTAAGATGATAACTGAAGAAATCGATTACAGAAACAAGTCAGCGACTTACAAAACGATAGAAGGAGATCTCCTTGAATTCTACAAGAGCTTCAGTTTCATTCTTCAAGTTACTCCAAGGGAAGAAGGCAGCCTGGTGCATTGGAGTTTCGAATATGAGAAGCTGAATGCCAATATTCCAAATCCGGAAACAACTCTGCCGGCTGTCGTCCATGCCTGCAAAGATATTGATGCTCATCTTACGCAGGCAAAGACTCAGAGGTCTCCTCAACTTCAGTGAAACTAATGAGAATCTGCATAATAGATTTATGCATGTTGGCTCATTGGAGTTGTCTGTATAAGACATGAATAAAAAGATCGCGTTGTTTCAGTTTTCGGCCAATTTCGGATTTGATGTAACTTTGTAAACCTTTTTTTTTTCACTCATGACTCTATTTTAAAAAAAAATAATATATTAGCTTTACTTACGATAGATTTATCCGATAATTTGTTTATTTTATTTATACTTTTTTTGAAATAATTAAATTTTATACTAAACTAGATTAAGGTGTAATGTTCTTATTCATTGTTTTTAATGTTTTTGTCATCTTATAATCCTGTTTTGAGTCCTGCACTATTTTTTCCTTTCTGCCAATGTGGACACACTCGCTAAAGGGGAACACCTTCACAAGTGTAAGTACTTTAGCATCTGTGTGCTCACAATACATATGACAGATATTTTTCCTAAATCACACTTTATGCACCCGTTTTTCTTTTTGGACAATATTATTCCTTGTTGATATTTTGTATTGTACTTTTTAATTTGTCCTCTTTTTATTTGTTGTGTGAGAAAATGAATATTGCTTTTGTTTGTGGTCCCAAATTTCTTGTGCAAAAAGAAAAACCCAAAAGTTAATAGTTAGCTTTTTTGTCCTCCAACCCTTAACACATTGATCTCTATATATTCATTCATTTCTAGCGTTCTCTTCAGGGAATCTGATCACATTTGTTTTCCTCTCTGAATATTCTCTGAGGTTCTCATTTTGGTTAAGGTTTCTTACAATGCTTTGGTAGGCTTTGAATTACCATCCTCACTTATCCTAGTATAAGATCTTTAGGATGTTGTTTCTTTTGTGATGAAAGCTGGTGTGTAAGCTGCTATCCTGTCTTTATTGTTGAATTTTGAGAGGAGCTCTTCTTCAACATGATGTTGCTGTGAGGACTTGAAGTTCAACCAAAGAAGATATGAAAGTAAAGAAAAGTTAAAGAAAACAAGAAGAGGAAAGTAAAGATTCAGAAGGGAAAAGTTCTGGAATTCTTCAAAAACTTTACTAACTGTCGAGTAGCAGAACAGTGAGCTAATTTATACTAGCCACTTTTACAATACACAGCGTTTTATGCATATTACAAACTTTTACAATAGTTTGTAAACATTACAAACTAATCCCCAGTAATAAGCTTGTAAACATTACACTTTCACACATCAATATAAACTGTAAACTACAGATTTAGGAGAAAACTTAGAAAGCCTTTTCTGCACCTTTCTCTTTACTCAATATCCTCCCGTAAACCAAACCGCAATAGTTCTTCATCTTTTTCCAAAGCCTTTTCTGCACCTTTCTCTTTACTCAATATTCTCCCGTAAACCAAACTACCTTACTAGCATCATTTGCTGATTTTTCAATAATAGCTTCCCTTATTCTGGTCACCTTACTTTGTACAACTCCTTCTGAAGTTAAAAACACTCCTATGCACAAACAAATCATAAGCAAGCATTCATCCACTATAATTTAAGTTTTAGCAGAAACTAAGCAAAAGCATTCAACTCTGAGAGTCAGCTGAAGTAATAGGTTCATCTGACTTTGTACAACTCCTTTTGAAGTTAAAAACACTCCTATGCATAAACAAATCATAAGCACTCATCAACCAAAGCATAAGCATCCATCAACCAAAGCATAAGCATTCATCCACCAGAATTTAAGTTTCAGCAGAAACTAAGCAAAAGCATTCAACTCTAAGAGTCAGCTGAAGTAACAGGTTCATCTGACTTTGTACTACTCCTTCTGAAGTTAAAAACACTCCTATGCACAAACAAATCATAAGCACTCATCAACCAAAGCATAAGCATTCATCAACCAAAGTTTAATTTTCAGTAGAAGCTAAGCAAAAACATTCAACTCTGAGAATCAGCTGAAGTAACAGGTTCATCTGCAGGTATGGATGATACCATATTTAGTTTGTCTTTGAGAGTCAGAAATCTGTGAGCAAGAAGAGCCTTTGTTAAAGTATCAGCAACTTGATATTCAAAACACACATATTGAACACATAATCTTTTTTCAACAGCCAACTCCCTTACATAATGCACATCAATTTCAATGTGCTTTGTCCTAGCATGAAATACAGGATTGGAGGATAGTGAACCAGCATTCATATTGTCACACCAAAGTATTGGAATGTTGGTGAGTTGTAGACTAAGTTCTTAAAATAAATTTTAAACCCAAACCAATTCTGTTGTTGCCTGGCTAAGAGCTCTATATTCTGCCTCTATAGAAGACAACACAACAACTTTTTGTTTCCTTGAGCACCATTGAATTAGATTTCCCCCAAGAAAAATACTGTAACCTGTTGTGGACCTTCTATCATTCCCATCACTGGCCCAATCTGCATCAGCATATCTTTCTAACTTGAACTGCTGGTTTTGTTTAAACAGTAAGCCATGTTGGATTGTTCCTTTGATGTAACGAAGGACTCTTTTACAGGCAGTCCAATGGTTTGTAGTAGGGTATTGAAGAAACTGACTTAGCCTATTAACAGCAAAGGCTAAGTCAGGCCTTGATAATGTTAGATATTGGAGTCCTCCTACCAAACTTCGGTATAGAGATGGCTGATAAAAAAAGTCACTATTTACTTTCATGAGCTTTGTTCTAGTTGCCACGGGAGTGTTACACGGTTTGCACTCCGAGAGACTAGCCTTATTCAGTAGGTCTTGTGCATATTTTGCTTGAGTAAGGAAAAGTCCTACTTTGTTCCTATGCACCTCAAATCCCAAGAAGTAATTAAGAGCACCTAGAGTCTTCAGAGCAAATTTGCTGTTTAAATCTGTAACAATATGCTCAATTAAGATAGGATCATTCCTTGTTATAAAGATGTCGTCTACATAAACCAGGAGATAAACCACTTGAGTGCCTTTTTTAAAGAAGAATAAACTGGTGTCTGAAATACTGCTCTGAAATCCCCACTCAACCAAGGTTGTTTTCAGTTTATCAAACCAAGCCCTTGGGGCTTGCTTTAGTCCATAAAGAGCTTTGTGAAGTTTACACACATGCTTGGATTTAGACTGATCAGTAAAGCCATCAGGTTGAAGCATAACCACTATTTCTGTAAGTTCCCCATTCAGAAATGCATTATTGATGTCTATTTGTTGTATTTCCCACTTGTGATGGACTGCAAGTGATAGCATAATTCTAATGGTTGCAGGCTTAATCACCGATGAGAAGGTGTCAAAATGATCTAGACCAGGAGTTTGTTAAAACCCCTTGGCCACTAATCTTGCTTTATATTTCTATAGGGCCCCATCAACTTTTAGTTTAGTCTTGAAAACCCACTTATAGCCCACAACATTCATATCTTAGCTGAAGGGGACTAATTCCCAAGTCTTGTTTCTTAAGAGAGCCTCAAACTCATCTGTCATGGCTGCCTTCCATTTTGGAGCAACTAAAGCTTCTGCAGCGGATTTTGGCTCTGGAAGAATGGAAATAGTGGTGATATAAGCCTGTCCTATAGGATGTTATGGGTGAGATTTTGATCTGGTAATCATGGGATGATGATTGGTGCTAAGAGTGTGTTTTTGAAAAGGTAAAACCACTTCTAGATGAATTCCTGAAGGAGCATTCTCGGATTCAGAAGAAGGGAATGTCACAGCTAGTTGCTGACCAGTAGTATTATCCTTCAGCATATCACTTCTAGGTTGCTGAGTTAAACTAGAAGAGGGGATTATCACAAATGGTTGCTGACCATCATTATTATCCTTCATTATACCACCACTAGGCTACTGAATTAAACTAGAAAAGAGGTTATCACAGCTGGTTGCTGACCAGTATTATTATCCTTCATTACACCCCCACTAGACTGTTGAGCTAAGCCAGAAGAAGAAAATGGTACAACTGGTTGCTGACTAGCAGTATTATCTTTCATTGTACCACCACTAGGCTGCTTAGGAGTATTAAACCTCAAAATCTACTCTATTTGATGATCCAAGCAGTGAGACATATTCCAGGAGGAAGAAGAGCTTTCAACATTGGATAAACTCAGTCCTGTACTGTCCAAATCCTTAAATAGAAAACAGTTAAAACCAAGTTTGTAAGGAAAACTTGTTTCATTGAATTTTACCTGTTTGACAATATAAATTTTCCCTGTAGGGGAGAGGTATTTGTACCCTTTGTGTGCTAGACTGTATCCTATGAAAACACACTGCTCTAAATGATAGGACAATTTATGTTTTTGATAAGGTCTTGTAAAGGGATAATAGCTGCATCCAAAGACCTTCAGCTCACTATGATCAGGTGGCTTCCTGTACAACATCTGATAAGGTGATACATCTTCAAGGACAGAAGAAGGAAGCTTGTTTGCAAGATACACAACAGTGTTGAAAGCTTGCCACCATAGGCATAAAGGCATACCAGCATGTGCCAATAATGTCAGACCAAATTCTGTAATGATCCTATGTCGTCTTTCTAATCTCCCATTTTGTTGATAGAGATAGGGACAAGGGTGTCTATAATTAATCCCATGTTGTAAATACCCAGTAAAGGATCTAAATTCATCTCCCCAATCAGTTTGTAAAGTCTTTAACTTGGCATCTAATTGTTTTTTTGAAAAGCAATGGAAATAGGTAAAAACATTAAAGGCTTCAGACCAATTCAAGAGGTCTTGTTGTTCTAGAGGCAGACTTGGGAAAGGAAGTCTAAGATAATTTTCCAAATTGACAAGATTCACAAAAAATGTTATTAGAAAATGAACCAGTGATATGCACTTTATTCATCACATTCTTAAGAGTTTTCACTTGTGGATGCCCCAACCGAGCATGCCACAATTTTGCTAAACTAAGACTTACATCAGATTGTTCTTCTTGAGAATCGGAATTTTTATTCAAGCTATTATCACTAGATAAAGTGTTGGAGACATCAGCAACAAAGCAAGATGCAGGGGAGTTAGAGTTGGAGGCAGCAATTGGCAAGGAAACTTGCAGTTGGTACAATCCATCTTGTAAGGTTCCTTGAAGCAGTACCTCTTCAGTCCATT